TTGCCGAAATTTCGGGCGATAGTCAGTTTTACATATGATTTTTGTGCTTGTGAGTCTAATAACTCTGTAACGAAGCCTGACGGGAATTCGAGCTCGACCGCAGGTTCGGAATTTCGTCTGGGCGTGTTCGATTTGCGTTAATAGACGGTGATAGCGATGCAGAGCGGGGTAAGTAGTTCTGAACCGCGCATGCAGGTGTTTGGATAGTGGAATGTTCCACCAGAGCCATAACATCCGCTACGATTACCTCTGTGCTCGCTCGACTACTCTTTTTCACAGACTGACCTAACGCGGGGTTGTACGACGTGGTGTGTGTCGCGGCCCTGTTACCTGTGGTGGTAAATGACCGTTTCTCTGTTGCCTTTGTCCCTGTACCTGTGGCTTCCCCTGCAGCCGAGTATGCGAGACGTTGCGTATCACCTTCGGAGTGATATGCGTCTGCTAAGAGGTGGTGTAGGTTGGGGGTCTGAGAGAGGTCGCCGTTGGGCTGTGCGTTGTCCGCGGTGGATGTGGTTGCGGACGGCGTTATGGAAAAAATTTTCGAAAACGGTTGTTCGTTGTGACTAAATACCGAATTTCGCGCGTGATGGTCGCTTGAATTTTTCCGTTCATAATACCGAAATTTGTGATGTGGGGGAGTTGATTGGAGTCATCGGGGTGGACTAGGTCCCGTTGGCTCCCCCGCCGTTTCCCGACGTGGTCGGTCTATGGGGTCATACACTTTGCCAGTGCAGCTCGCCACAAAACTTACACGGCCCGGGTGGATTTTTTTGTTTAAATTCGGCGCGCAGTTTTGTTGCCGGTTGACCGTGTTTCGGGAATGCACCCTTTTTTGTTTGGTAAGAGTCTTTTCCATGGTGGATAAACTCTTTGCCGGGTGAGGGTGTGTGTGTGTTCGTTACGGGGTCTAAAATGTTCGCGATGCGTCGAAGCTCGGCGAAAGTCGACGGCTGCCGTAAACGAATGTGCGTACGGAATATGTCGTGCGTAAGCCCAGTAATAAAGTGTACTAATTCCGATTCGGATAGACCAGTATTTACGCGGCGCGCGAATTGATTTTTATTTAAAATAAATTCCGTAAGCGATTCAGTCGCGGACTGTCGTGTCGATAATATATCAGCGCTCAACCGAAGTTGAATTTCGTCATTGTCGAAATTTGTTAAAAATTCGACTCGGAATTCTTCCCAGGATAGCTCCAGGACCTTGATGGATTTCCACCAAGTCGCGGCCGTACCCATTAGTTGCGGTTCAATAGCTCGACACCAGCCGGACATGTGTATATGCGCTTGCGATAGGACGGATTCCGAATTATTAATAAAACGTACGGGGTCTTCGGCCCTTGTTCCGGAAAATTCGGGTAGTGAAGCTCTTGCGGCACGCAAGTCCTCATACGGTATTAATACGGACCGGTCCTGTGATCGCGCTGCAAACGAAGGAATATTCCGCGAATTATTATTCAAAACCGTATGGCCGCCGGTCAAGTTGCGCATGTTATACGACATACTCGCCGCGACGTCGACGCGGTCGTCACCTAGTTGTGCGGATACGTTGTTGTCGCTACGGAAAACGGGCGGAATATTTCGTTGATTTAGATACGCATACGTTGAATCATTTGTGTCTACCGGAGGGCGTATCGGTTCGCTTTGCGCATAGTGTTGGGCGGATACATCGTGTTCGTCTCCCTGCGAGTTTTGACGTTGGTCGTTAAGAAGTCGTGTCAAACTCGCTTCCAACGTCGCTATGCGTGATTCGAATGCGGCCCATTCGGCGTCCCGACCTATTGATTCACGTAGCGGTAAAAGTCGCGCCGCTGTGGACGAAAAAATATTGTCCTGCGTTGAGGTGTCGAGTGGGTTTGATGTCGACTGTAAACGATTATGTACAAAGTCGCCACCTAACAAACTGGCGTTCGTAGACGGCGCAATGACTAATCCCGTTGTCATGTCGCCCCGTACATGGTCGTCATCGGAAACGGTCGCGAAAAGTACCCTCGATGGGTCGGCACCGGTTGAACGCAATTGTTCAGCTAGTCTTGTTTCGAGGTCTGCCTTGGACCCGGATGACGGTATTTGTATAACTTCGCACTCGTAACGCAACTCTTTCAACGTTAGTTGATCAATGTTTTTGATCGACATAGTGTAAAAAATAATTATAAATAATTCTAATTACAACTATTCGATTTAATAAACAATCGATTGTAGTATGCGTAGAGGTTGAAGGTAGCTAACACGTCACTAGCAAGACTTTTGAAAAAAAAAAAGATCGAATAATTGAAAACAACAATCGAAATCAAAAAAAAACAAACTGTTTATCACGCAGCTGTTGTTGTTTTGATAGTGTAGCCCGCTGATATAAAATTTATATTTAATATTGTCGTAGATCGTTTGACCTACTTCTGATAATAGGTGCCCATACACGAGCGGATTTTATAACGGATTTGGTCTCTGACGGATTAAATCCTCTAAAAAGTCCTATCGTGTGTGGTGTTCTAAGGATTCAATCCGGCAGATTTAAAATCCGACGGATTTAGTCCAACGGTTCAAGTCTCTCGCTTTGCCACAGACTAAGACCAGGTCCGGCGGACCACGGACCTTGATAAGAAATTTTTGTTTTATTGATAGTAATAATTTTATTATCATACAATATCATCTGTTTCTCTCATCAATGGTTCGTTAATGATTTGTATTTTGATTTTTGATATATTTTAATCATTTTTAAATACCTCGCTAATTTTTTTTTTAGTAATATTTAAATACATTTTGCACAAATCATGGAGTGGAGTAAATCTATAACAACAGATTTCATCGAGTTGTACCATTCCAAACCATGTTTATGGAAAATAAGTTCTATTGAGTATAAGAACAAAAATTTAAAGTCTGTTGCTTATAATGAACTTATGGAATTTCTCAAATCTAAAGGATTGGCTAGTGCTAATGTAAAAGAAGTTAAATCTAAAATTCAAAACATCAGAAGAATGGTTAGAAAGGAAAGAGCAAAAGTAGAAGCATCTAGGAGAAGTGGAAAAGGTACAGATGACCTGTATACTCCAACATTGTGGTAAGTGTTAATTTTTTACATAGGTTCCCAATTTTATGTAATATGTATGTGTACTATATTTGTGTATTAATTTATTCTTGAAGGTATTATGATCTCTTATATTTTGCAAATGATATGGACCCACTTCCATCAATTGATAACCTAGGAGGTACTAGCGATTATAGTCATGAAATAGATGAAGAAAATGACTGTAACAATTTAGATTTGACTGAAAATAATTCACAATGTTGTGAAAAAGATGTTGACATTGATGTATCCAATACAAATGATGGTCAAAATGATGTAAGTTTTTTCAACAAATTAAAAATGAAAACTAGGTTTAATTGTTAGACAGTGACTATTAAATTTAACAATATGCAAGTGTTTATAATAGTTTAAGTAGATAACATGATACTCTCAATGACAGTGTTATATAGTACCTATATTCTTAATCTAAATAATAATTAATAATAATAATAAGTAATAAGTAATAAAAATAATAATAATTAGGTACAATACCTATTAATTAATTAGTAAAAATATTAAAAATATCCTTAGTTATTTAAAATAATTATGATTTTCCTTTTTTAATCATGTCATCCTGCCAAACTACTTTTCCAACTCCATTAAAATACTCTAAATACTTGTTTCGGTTTATTTTGGCTGCTGCTGAACTATTTCTTACAGTTTTGTAATGGAAACAATCGTCCACTTACATCAATATCTTCTATGTCTTGTGTCTCACTGTTTTCAGATGTAGGTTTTACATAAGAAGAATTGTGTTTTATAAGAAAATTATGAAGTGTGCAAATTGCTAAAACAATATACTTTGTGTCGTTCGGATTGACATTAATAGATGTCTGCAAAATGCGAAATCTACTTGCTATTAGACCAAAAGCATTTTCCACTACATTTCTAGCCCTCGATAGTCGGTAATTGTAAATCCTTCTTTCATAGTTTAAGGATTTTTGTGGAAATGGTTTTAAATCATGTTCTTCTAGAGAAAATGCTTCATCTCCAATGAATACAAAATTAAGATCTTCTTCACAATCTGTAGGTTTTGGCAAATTAAGAGTTTCATTCTGTAGTCTTCTGTAAAATGTTGTTGCTTGTATAACGCCACCATCAGATATCCTACCTTGTTTTCCAACATCGACATATATGAATTCATAATTATGATTTACAATAGCCATTAGAACAATACTATAAAAGTTTTTATAATTATAATATAGTGCACCAGAACGTGCAGGTTGACAAATGCGAATATGTTTGCCATCAATACAACCTCCACAGTTGATCATTTGCCATCGATCCTTAAACCCATTAGCTACTTCTTTCCAATCTTTAGATGTTTGAGGCACCTATAAAAATATAAAATTAATACATTTTTCTTACTTACTGTGTTAACTATTATTTACAGTTGCTAAAAAAAATTATTATTATTTTACTAATATTAAAATTTGTATTTCAGGTTTTTCAAATACCGTCATCACCTATTCAGTGTAAAAAAACTAAAAAACAGAAGATGGATGATAGCGTTTCTAGTTTTATGAAAAAGTGTTCTGAAGCTCTTGAAAACGATAACAAGCCTGATGAATACGAAGCAATGGGAATTAATTTTGCAGCTAAACTGAAAAAAATGAAGCCTGAACAGCAAATATATGCTGAACTGTTGTTTCAAAAAGTCTGTGCCAAAGGGCTTCTGGGGCAACTACATGAGTGTTATGACATTGTTGATGTTTCCAAATCTCAATTGGCCAATAACAATTATACTGCAGTATCTGCAAGCGAATATTATTCCTGCCAATAAGTACAAGGTCATATCCAAACGATAACTTATCTACAGAGTCTAGTGAATCACCATCAACAAGTGTTCAAAGTTTTCTTTATAATTTGAATACATCAACAAATTCCACTGATGATCAATGACGTTTTTAATTATTTTATAAATTTGAAAGTTCTTTATTACCTATTATTATAATATTATATTTTAATTCATATTAAAGTTGTTACACAAAAGTCTGAGGGAAACTATAAAGTACCTATTTATTTTAATGTTG